CTTCCAATTCCCAACCCTTAAACTAGTCCAGTAGTCCAGAAGGAATCTGTGATATCAATGGGTATTGAGAAGTCAAGGATGGTTAAACTGAATTCATTTCCCACAAAAGCATGAAAGCATCTGATGTGGTTTCTGCCCCATGTCATGCAACCCTTATAAAAGATGAAGCTGGTTTAATGATTCAGAAAAATCATTAATGCGTGCTAATGTATAAAATGCATGTATATGAGTTATTCCAGAGGGACCCACTTAGTGCATATCCTCTCAGAATCTCAACAGAGATTGCTGTCATAAATAAGGCAGAGGACCCATCCCCACTCATACGCTGCCTGGAGAACAGTGCAAACCATCTGAATCCAAAATATTTCTGGAGGGCAGACATGAACATCATCTTCCACACAGCTGCAGCTTGCTGTGAACCTGACCTCCACCCATCTTTTCCAACTCTAGGCTGAAAGTAGTTTTGCATCCCTTATTGGCTCAGGCAATGCTGCAACTTGCTGCAGTTTATATATTTTTAAAAACAAATCTTTGCACTCTGAGTGGTTACTGTGCAGATGCAGAAAAGCCACCTCATCTGGGTCAATGATCACTATCCTGTAATTGTCCAATCTTTATTGCCATATGATTATAACACAATAACCACACTTGCCTGACTAAATGTTACCTTACAAGTGAAAACATGACTTAAAAATTACTGTTTTCTTCTCTGAACTACTTACTCTTCTATTACCTCAAGATGAAATACCAGTGGACTTATTTAAAACAGCAATGACCTGTGGAAAGTAGGTAACTCAAAAAAGGGAAATTGTGATTTTTTTTTAAAAAAAGGATTTCTGTCAGGATTTGGAAGTAGCAAAGTTCTTTGTGTCAGACAAATGTGGTAACCACCCTGCTTCTGAAAATTTGTACAAGAGAACCTGAACAAGCCTTGCAAAGCTAAAACAGACAAAATGTTGGGAAGCAAATGTGGTTTTAAAGCTGATTATTGTACATGCATAAATGTATATTTCACATCTATAATTCTGTATGTATACATTTAGTTTAACCATAGATAGGTAGATGAGGGAGGGGGGCTCAGCAACTACAGCCTATGGGTTGAATATGGCCCACCATGCAAAATCACCCAGCCTATAGTTCCCAGCCTATATCCATCCATTCAAATGGGAGGAGGAGCATTATCCATTCAGCTTCTCCTTGTGAGCAGTTTTGCCTCCTCCAATGGCCATTTTGGTAAGGGCTTCACCAACTGCCACAGCACAGGCAGAACAACAAGTCCTCTTCCTGATGCTGGCAAGACTGAGCTGCAGAGCTCAGGAGGAGAAAATGGCAGCTGCAATGCATGGCCTCTGGCCCCTTGCTGACCCAGGGGGTGATTGGCATCCAGCAAGAGCCAACCATGGAAAGGAAAGCAATTGGCAATTGCTCTTCTGACATGTAAAGTTGGGAGGGCAGAGCAGAAAGGAAAATATCTAGTGACAGGTTGTGGTAACTCCCAGTTAACCACAACTTGAACTCCTGCCAAGTTGCTTCTGAAGCATTCCAATCTTGACAGAATGTGTCCAGTTGGCATCAGCAAAGTTAGGAGCAGATAACATCTTCATAGGGAGTACCCAGGCCCAATCCTTGTTAGTTACAGCTAAAGATTTGTTTTCCATCTGAACATTTCCACAATTTGCTCACAGCTCTGTAGAATGATGATGAGGCACTGTTTCCTTTCAGCATTCTGGCAAGATGGTGTCAGTTCAGTGTCATTGGCTTCAAACTAGGTTGGGTACATATCACTGTTTGCATTAGCAATGTAATTTTGTGGTCTGGCAGATTTTCCTATTATTGTTATTTTAAATCCACAACAAATTTTGCTCAGAGGGTGCAGTTATAACATGCCTATGGCAATATGGGTTTCCTGATAGGGTTTCTTGAGCTCTCCATATTATCTGAACCCTGCCTTGCTGTGAATGGATAAAGTTTTTGCTCAAGGGACTTTTAAAAAAAGAAGATTCTTGGTTACTTAATGCAATACAACTACCTGCTCCCCATGGATTTTCAGGCTTCTTTGCAAGGGAAAAAAAGACAGATGCTGGATTTGGTTTGATGCATTTACATTTACATTGTGTTTGCACATACATGAATTCACTGGAGCAGAATGCCTATATTCACTTTCAGCAGAACTCTGTTGGGCCCATTTCAATTCAAAACAGCAGGGAGGGTCTACATTTACCATGATGTATTTCCCTTTCCTTTGCCCTTCATAGGTAAGGGAATAATGTGGTGAGTTCTCTTCTGAATGATACTTTATCTATGACTATCTTCTATTAGCAGGCTTCATTTGTATGACTTAAGAATCAGGGCCTCTTAATGGCCTTAGATCATTGCTAGGTTTGCTGTCTTTTTCCACCGTTTCATTTGTCGTAACTGTAATAGCAACTTGGCATGCTGATGTGGGCAGATTAAAAACAGAACAAGCTGCCTATTTTAGGTCCCCAGTTCAATTAACTTTTAAGTAAAAAACAAAAACAAATATATTGTGCAGACAAATTAGGAGTACAGAGAAAAATATGAAGAATGGGAGATTGAGTTCTTTGGCTTTAAAACAACTTCCATGGGTGAGGTTTAGCCAAGCTCATTGAAAATGAAGCATATATCTTGCAGAAATGCCTTACGTAAGCCCTCTTTTCTCAAAAAGCAATTAGAAACAGAATCTCTCACCTCCCTGTAATATTCATGTTGAGATACATTTTACATTATATTTGCCTGACATAAAGATGAACTGACAGATGCTGCAGTATGAAGAGAAATAGTTCTGAGGAGCACTTTTTATAACAACATCTGAGCATCACTTCTGGGTTTTTTTTAATTCACCCCATCTCTTGCTGTGTGCACACAGTAAAGCTCATGCCACCTTTAAAATTACAATAATTTAGAGATAGATCGCACTTCAGCCTTCATTGTTTTGCTAGAAAAATCTGGAAAATAAAGACCAGGCTCATGCCAAACAGACACTATATGATTGATTGGACCTGCAATCTTCCTCTGCCTTTTTTCAACTTTATTTAGCAAGGCTCAACTGGATTTTGATGAGTTTTTATTTTCTTGTCAAAATTTGCATGTTTGACAAGACAGGGTAGGGTTTTTTTTATTGAACAAATATGTAAATCACACAAATTCAAAGCTCTTTTTTGCAACATTTTTTATAGACCTGGACAATGCATGTTCTTCATAAGTGGTGAACTACATGATGCATCCGCAGATGTAGAAACTTTTTACTGTTTTAGCATCATTCATGTTTGCGTCATTGGTTGGAAATATAGCATGAAAAAGATCAAGGACAACTATATCCTCCTTTCATTGCAATGAGGCCTCTATGGGATAATTGCCCAAAAGCTGACACAAATCATAGCTGGCTGACTGGACTGGTCAGAGCACCAACATTTTGATAGTTACAGAACTATCCCATAGCAACAGCACTTAGACACCACTCCATAGCGTTTTACAGCACTTTCTGAGTGGTTTACAAATGTCAGCATATTGCCCTCAGCAATCTGGCTCCTCATTTTACTGATCTCAGAAGGGCAGAAAGCTGAGTCAACCTTGAGCCGGTTAGGATTGAACTTCTGGCTGTGAGCAGAATTAGCCTGCAATACTGTATTCTAACCACTGCACCACAACAGTTTCTATTATATTGTTTGATTAGTAAATCAAACTATAATAGAAGGTAGAAGTAACTTTAATCTACGGTAAATGAAATTGTCTGAATTAGGCACAGGTAAAAAAAATATATGTTGCTACTTCATAGTGCCTACAAACCTGCTTCATAGGGTTGAGACTTGGTTGCTGTGCAAGGTGAGGGAACTATAGTGCTGTTTCTTCCTCTCCCCAACTGGGCTGGGCTGAAGATTATTTCTGCTGTGGCTACAAAGTTTGCAAAATGATAAAGCATCACTTCATTTTTCCAGATGTATTTTTCTCAAAGTAGATTAGTAAGAAAAGTTTAGGTAGGACCATTTTTCAGTCCTACTTAAAATGAGAAGTTTTTCAGGATTCTATCCATTCAGCCTTCCCTCTAAAATGCAAAGGTTATTTCCCAGCTCAATTGAACAGGATGCCTAATGCTAACTCTTCCCCCCCACCCAATAACTATACGGAATATGAGCTTTTATTCTTGCATTTTACAGTGAGACTTCTTCTGCTGTCAACTTCTGAATGGCACAAATGCATGTTCTTCCAAGATCCACTCTCGACTGGCTCATGCTGAATAAGTTAATCTGTTTCTCCAAAGAGTCACTTGCTTTCCAGGGCTAAGACCCACACTAATAAAAGAATAAGATATGCTAAGCCCAAAGTGGAATTCTCTTAACATTTTATTTTATGCACACACACACATCAAGGGCACAATATTGGACCATGGAAAGCAGTTAGCATTATTCTCCCTGCAACTGTAAATCCTTTGAGATTTTCTCCTGCCCTAATATAGCCTCCAAAACTGGATAGCAGAAAAATCACAGGAGGTGAAACTAATCTCTCCTTGCTCTCAAGTTATTATTAAGGTATGGGGGCATTCAGTTTCCAATAGGAAGCGGTTTAATTTGTGGCACAGAAAATAGGCTGAAACAGTTATGCCGGCAGAAAATCAATTTGAGCACCAGGGCTGGACTAAATGACATTTGTACTATATTCTGTATCATATCCGAGGGCTTTGGCTCAAATGTTTCCCCTTGATCTCCATTCTTATAAACTAAAAATCAGGCAGTGCATAAGGACAAGGTTTTTTTTTTTTTTCATTTTGATAATGGTTGATTATAGCTGAAATTACTTTATCACAATACAACATAATATCATAAATATTCAACATTAGCTTTCCTTTAGATTTTGAAAGTGAAATTTCCAAAACGGAATTCAAAACAGAATTCAAGGGCAAAAAAATTAACATTCTGAATTAATGCAGTAAGTTTTAGGGACGCTGGAAACTCACTATTGATAGAAATATAAAAGGAAAGTACCTCCTGGATATGCCTCTTTATTGGAGAGTAGCAAGATCAGGATAGTTATTCATGCAGAAATTTATAACTCTTCTAGGACCATGGTTTTCTATCCCCTTTATGTTAGAATGACTGAAAAATCCAATCACACACTTGACCTAATGAGAAAACACAACAGAATGATTTGTCTCTAAAGAAATGGAAGAAAGCAAGTTCAAAAGAGTGCAGTTTGCAAGCAGCTGCTCTATAAGTGATTATTTGGAGTTGAAAGGAATCTTAAATTACTTCAATGTTTGCACATGAGCAAGTCTAACATGGCCCTTGCGGTTTTCAAACTCCTGGCCAAAGTTCTACAATTTCTTTATTAGATATACATTCCACCTTTCCCGTGGAAGCTCAAGGCAATGTATCTAGCATTTCTTCCTCCATTTACACCCCCCCCACTGCAACTATTCTTTCAGGTAAGTTGGACTAAAAGAGAATGACAGGCTCAAAGCTGCCCACTTGAAAACAGGTTCCAAAGTTGGAACCATTTTTGAGCACCAGTTAAAATTTCCTACCATTGGGAAAGGAATAGCTACCATGGTCTTCACACTAAAAATACAAAAACAAAACCCTACTGAATAACTATCTATTCACTCTATTAGAGAGTGAAAAGATCATGTCTTGTATATTACTACCCAATGGTAGTAAAGGCCTCCTTGTGCTGTAGCCTCGGCAGGCACATTGGCTAATATTTCAAATGAGAGCTTCTCAGTGATCCTGGATGTAAGTAGACAGAGCAAAACGAAGAAATGCTATTTAAATGTGGACACCAACTGACTGTTCTTCTAATTACTCCACCATATCTGTTACTAAGCCTGCCTCTGACAGCGCAACCTTATTAGCCAGGGATTTACAAAGCAGAGAAGTCAATAATTATATTTCTTTTCTGGTATCAGATAGCAGGTGGCCTCCCTCTCTCCTTTGCTGGCTACTTCCCTGCATTTATTGCTATGGCTTATCTTCTTATTTGGAAGGAGCCACAGCCTTTGAATCTACTTGGGTTCAGTACATCTCTTAAGTTGATTCTTTACAGTGAATGCCAGACTTCCTAATTTTGTACCCTTTTTGTGCATAGGAGATGATGGAGTTTCTAATTCAATGCTCCTGGAGGATATCAGACTGGGGAAAGCTGGAACAAATTTGTGTTTTTTGAAATAGTGGCAACCATATAATGAAACAATCTAGCTTCGATACTTAATTCTGTTTCTGAGACCTGTAAAATATCTTCCCTGAATATTATAATATTTAATGATAAATTATTTCAATTCAGCAACTAAAGATATTAGCTAGGAAAGTGATAACAATAGCCATATATAACAGCTTCATATATATGCATGATGCAGTCTTACCTGTTTCAGCAGGAGGGAATACTTATAGATCTTGGCTGATCTGCTCAATTAGGATTGGATCTGGTCACTATTTGGAAGGTAGCAGCAATTCAAAATATTCCAAACTGGGAGATGGGAAAAAGCGCTGGCAAACTACTTCAGTATTGCTGTGTGGAAAAGGCATGCATGTGTTAATATAGTTGCCAGGAGTCGAGAAGAATGTGTTTCCCTATCCAGATTTATCTCATCTCAACAAAAATAACATAGAATCAGAAAAGGCATCCAAATAAAGAAGAAAAGGATCATGACTGGGGGTGAAAGACACTTCCATATGTGGAAATCACCACAAGGCTGGAGAAGGTGGGAATTGTGTTTAGGGGGAAAATGTTTTTTGAGATTCTGTGCACTCTGAATTGCTTACTTGAGCAGATGTATGACAGTAGGGCAAGAAAGAGACTTATAAAACCATGCACTTGTTCAGATCAAGGAAATATAGACATTTTTTTCCTGTTCTCAGAGTTTGGGGTCACTCAATTTGAATGACTGACAACAGGGTTAGAGTAGGCTGCAGGAAATACGTCTTCATCTTTCAAAGATTTATAGAATTCACTGTCAAAAAATATGATGAACTTTAATTTGAATATTTTTTTCAAAGATGTTGAACAAATTCAAGGGAGATAACCAGACTTTCAGGGACTTCTATTTATAATGGCTTTATACCATTTCTTGGATCAAAGCCAGCTGCTGGAAACTGATAGCAGAAGAGGGTTATATTGTTTTCAGGTTTCTCTGAAACCTCATAGGCATTTGTGGCTACTGTTGCAAATGGGAATCTGCAGTAGGGATACTCTTGATTGTCTTGCATAGGTGTTTTTATGTACTGCATTTTGAATTTTAGTTTTGGACTATAATGAAGCAGATTGTATAATTTTGAGCTACCTTGTCCTTCTCAGCTTAATATGAGGATGGTAGTGAGAAGAAGAAGGTGGTGGTGAGGAAATACTCCTGTGGGGGGGGGCATGAAAACAAATGTGAATAATAATTATGAATATTTCACAATGAAGAAATACACACAAGAATAAAATGATATTCATGCATCAGGTCTCATTAATTTCAGTTGGCCATATTTCCATCCAAAATTGGGGGTGGGGGGGAAACTAGCATGCTCAAGTATCATTCCAAAGATACTTAGAGAAAACAAACTGTATTTAAAAGCTTTTCCTGCAAAGCAGCTCATATAGAAGGACTGGGCTGCATCATCATCAAGGAACAAAAAGCAACTTTCAAAATGGACTGTTCCATAAAGGGCTAAAAGACCAGTTCTGCAGCTTATCACCTGGAGACATGAAAATCAGCATGTCCAGGATGCATAATAATAGCTCCAGTTCATGTGGGACATATATTACCTGGTTTGAAAGAATAAGTACCTCTGGCAACCGCGTGCTGGTTGTAAGTTATGTTTCTTGTCACAATGGCCATTATGTTTGTTTTAGCCTAATGAGAACTTATTAACTGACTCTTAAGATAGAACTGGAGCAGAGTGATGAAAGCAGTTTTCTTTTTTCCTCCTTGCTAAGAAAGAGCAAGCAAAAAGAGGCGTTTCATTTTACAGTATTTTCATAATCTCTTGGAAATCATGCATGCATGTATGTATGTATGTATATATGTGTGTTGATATGTATCGTCTCCCCAACCCCCTTCTTGTGCAATCACTTCTCAGGAATGCTTATATTTTTGGCATGCACCTGGAGAAGACACCTCTCGCCTAAGCCCTGATGAGGAGTTAATTCTAGGGTGTAAAAATTCAGGAGCTGCTAAAATATCTAGACTAGAAGCAGAAAAGATAGAAATCTACACATCAGGGGGAATTATTTTTCGTCTCCACACTGAGATGAAGGGAGAAAACCTTTCACCCTTCCCTGTTGGTTTAAATATAGAGTACCACGGTAGTGATGGTGAATCCACAGTCAAAATCTTGCTTTAGTCGTGAACTCTTTCTCTCACTGTCTCAGTTCCCTATGTGAGAGGATTAAAACAATACCGTGCTTATTGGTTAACAATAATAGTTGGGACATAATGCACGCAAACATTCTGTAATGTTATACAAACACTAATTTTCTTAGATTTTTTTACATCCATTTTTGGATCCTCAAATACCTAACTTCGCGTGTCCCGTATCATATTTATCTGGTGCCAATAGGACACCTCTGAATGCTGGTGATGAAATATTAGTTGTCAGATGCTGAATGATGGAAACAAATGGCAGAAAATAGTATATCCAAGTATAAATATATAGGAAATTTGTATGATTGGAGAATGTTGGGAGAATATTTGACACTAAGATTTGCAAAACAAAAAGTTTATAAGCCTGATGTCAGATTCCTCAAAATAATCATTACAGACACACACAGATATACATGTGCATACACTAAGGTGACCAGATTTTAACATTGGTAAAGAGGGACATTGTGGGCGTGGCTTATTTTGTGGGCGTGGCTAGCTGGTCATGTGACTGGGTGGGCGTGGCTAGCTGGTCATGTGACCGGGTGGCCATGGCTATGTGTATAGGGTAAGGTGAACAGATTTTAACATTGGTAAGAAGGACACCATTGTGGGCGTGGCTTATTGTGTGGGCATGGCTTGGAGGCCATGTGACTGGGTGGGCGTGGCTAGCTGGTCATGTGACCGGGTGGCCATGGCTATGTGTATAGTAGGACTGGTCAAAAGTGCGAGGACCAGTCAAAAATAACTTTTTCAGCCCTCCGAGTAGTCCATATGCACAAAAGGACTAACCAGAGGGCTGAAAAAAGTCATTTCTGACAGGTCCTCGCACTTTTGACTGGTCCTCACACTTATGACCATCCTCATATTTATGCCTGTGCAGCATTCTTAACAACCATGTCACTCATTTCACAACTGCTTCTCTTCACCATGATGACAAGATAGGGCAAAAATGTAAAATATGAGGACAGTCGTAAGTTTGAGGACTGGTCAAAAGTGCGAGGACCAGTCAAAAATAACTTTTTCAGCCCTCTGAGTAGTCCATATGCACAAAAGGACTAACCAGAGGGCTGAAAAAAGTCATTTCTGACAGGTCCTCCCACTTTTGACTGGTCCTCACACTTATGACCATCCTCACATTTATGCCCATGCAGCATTCTTAACAACCATGTCACTCATTTCACAACTGCTTCTCTTCACCATGATGACAAGATAGGGCAAAAATGTAAAATGTGAGGACAGTCGTAAGTTCGAGGACTGGTCAAAAGTGTGAGGACCAGTCAAAAATAACTTTTTCAGCCCTCTGAGTAGTCCATATGCATTAAAGGATACAGCAATAGAGAGGGATGAAGGAAGAGAAATTAGAGTAGGAGTGAGGGTAAGAGAGGGAGGAAGAGAGGAGGAGGAGGAGAAAGGAAGAGGAAGTAGGGAGGAGAAAAAGAGGGTGGGGGGAAGAGAAAGTAAGAAGGAAAGAAAAGAGAGAGGTGGTAGGTTTGAGGAGAAAGATTGCTGTACAATAAAAAAGATGAACGGGAAGAAAGCCAACCCCAAACAAATATAAAGATATTAAGATAAAGAATGAATTGTTAAACTTTAAAGAATAAAAGAGAACAAATATGAATAAATAGCAGTAATTAGAAACACACATACAAACATACAATGTATTTTCTTTGAACAGAATATTTGGCTGGTTCACAAATTTAAACAGCGTTTAGTCATTTCAATTAAATTTACAATTTCTATATTTCTTTTTTGCCATATTTATTCCTTATCTATTTTTTTAAAAAACCCATATTACCCTTCATCCTCATCTCTAATCTTAATCAAATTCAATTTTTCCCTTCTATTCTATATTATACCCCTTCCCATTGTCATCTATTTTTATATCCATCCTCACATTGGTTAATTATGTAATTATGTAATACAGTTGTTTAATACAAATTCAACATTTTAATATAAATCAATTAGTTATATAACTATCTTTTTTGTATATTAATTAATATGAACATGAATATTCCAATTATTTCCATGCAATCCAATTTCTTACAAATCAATTAATTATACTTACCAATAATAATAAACCAAATAATTTCCCCCATATATACCTCCAAACCACAACTTAATTGCTGGGTCGCCCGCCCCTCCTCCCATCCGCGCGGCATCAGCCTACCCTAGCCCAGGGCTGGGCAATTGTGGCTCTTTTACAACGTTTGGACTTCAACTCCCGCTGAGCCCATTCTGGGGAATTGTGGAGAATTCTGGGAGTTGAAGTCCACAAGTCTTAAAGCTGCCAAGGTGGGAGACATCAAGCATGAGGCTGGCCAAGTATCCTCCTTGAGAGACAACAGTTGAACATCAGGAGAGCTGTAAGAGGGCAGGGCTACATTTGGAAATTTTCGCATTTTTGCAGGTGGTGCATTACGATCTGGTGTCTGCAATGGAGAGCAAAATCCGGCTTCTTCTCTCTGCTGTAAGGGCGGCATCAGGATTCCACCTTGGTATATTTGCAGCACAAGGCAGCCCTCCTCTCCTGTCGTTTGGGACTCGGAGCGGTAAACAGCGTCTGGTTCGGGGAGCAGCCGGATTTTGCTCTCCATTGCTCTCTCGGCCCCCTGCAAGCTCTCGTCTCTCGAGGAACGCTCCCTGAAATGGCGCGGGAAACTTTGGTTGGGCTTCTCGAGAGATGAGAGCTTGCAGGGGACCGAGAGAGCAATGGAGAGCAAAATCCAGCTGCTCCCTGAACCAGACGCTGTTTACCGCTCCGAGTCGGCAGGAAACGAGGGCTGCCTTGCGCCGCAAATATACCAAGGTTTTTTTTTTTTAACACTGATCAGCTGTAGGTCGGCCCTTTGAAGCCCCGCGGCAAGAGTTCAAACAGTTTTTTTTCCCTCTAGCCATCAGCGGGGACTCAGGAGGCAGAATGAAAAATCGGGACTTTTTTAAAACGCCGCGGGACGTGGGACAAATTGCTCAAAAGTGGGACTGTCCCGCCAAAAGCGGGACGTCTGGTCACCTTAGCATACACACATGCACATATTCTCTCATTCCCTCTCTCTCTCTCTCTCTCTCTCTCTCTCTCTCTCCCCTCTCCCTCTCCCTCTCCCTCTCTTTGTTCCTACTTATGAATGACAGGCATTTTGTTGGTTCCGTATAAAGCTCAGGAATCATATTCTTTAATTACAGCTCATGATGACACAGGTTGTTAGTTCTGGGTGATAACTTCATTAATTTCCACATTAAATCTTTACTGCAGTCAGATTTAGCTAAGCATCACTCCATTAGGTACCAACTGGTGTGCTGATCCTAAACATCACCATCATCGTATCTGCTAGCAATAAGATTGCATTTTAGGATGTTGCAAACTTATGGTTATTTTCTTGTGTGCCATGAAAAGAATTATAAATGTTGGAATGAACTGACTTATCCATCTATATTACTTACTGTTAATAAATAAATCAAACTTTAGAAAGCATATCAATTGCCCACTCCTTCAATGTCACTGTGTGACTTACAAAATACAGTGAAAACATTCTCATGGAAAAAATAAAATACTTGCATGGTATGGGAGCAGCTCTGTAGCGGACAAAAAAGCTCTACAGAGAATCATTAAAACTGCCCAGAATATCATCGGACTCCAGCTACCAGCCCTGGACGACATCTTCGAATCTTGCTGTTTGAGGAAGTTGCATAACATTCTCAAAGGCTCTTCCCATCCTGCTTACAATCTTTTTGGACTGTTGTCTTCTGGCAGAAGACACAGAACAATTAAAACTTGGACCACACATTTTCTGAATAGTTTTTATCCCAGAGCTATAATTGCACTCAACAACGAACTAAAGGGTTACCATCAGTGAGCTGTTGGACAGCATTACTTGGTCTGTTGTGTGGATGTTTGGGTGGTTTAGGGGTGGGGAATTGTGGTGGGTGGGAGGGTGTTTGGGGATTATTATGTGTGTTGGACCTGGTCTTTGGGTGTTAAGTGAATTTCTTTGTATGGGTATACTGTGTATACACGTTCAATGACAAAGTTATTATTATAAGCTAATCCTGGAAAGTAAATTTCTATTTATGTATGGATTTATTTACTTCACCCTCTCCTACATAATAGTAAGGAAGGGGCACACTTTAACTTCAGTGAATATCTATTCCATACAACAGGCCCTGCTGTAGTGTTGACTAAGTTGGTTGTAGATATCAACTAGTTTTGTGATTAGATCCATAAAATAAAAATTCAGAAATAAAAATCATTATCCATTTCTCCTTTTGATTAGGAATATTTTTTAACACTTGTAAGGATGAGGCCATATTAGAAGAAAATATTCAGCAAGGCCCAAATGTCCCCTCTTCAGAATAAGTATATACTTGGTGTCAAATACTCTCCCAACTTTTTCTGACTATACACATTTCCTAAATATTTACACTGGGATTTAATATTTTCTGACATTTATTTCCATCATTCATCAATTGACAACTAGTATTCATCCCCAGCATTCAGTGTGTTCGAATGGCACCAGATCAGTAGGATATGCAATCATAGGCATGTGAAGATCCAAACAGCGATATAGAAATCCAAGATAATTTGGCAAATTAATCCTATTTTATGCCCCAGAGCACTCTGATATCAGAATCTTCTGTGAATCAATCAACCTACTAGGCCTGCTTCTTCCCTGGCCATCTCCCCACTATTAAAATGACCTCATTTTAAGGTATATCAATGGTGCAGAAGTAATCTATACCCATTGTACTCTGACATAGAATAGCAACCAGTCTGGAGGATGAAAAGACACTGTAACTCTCCTATGAGCATGGGAAAAATCCTTTCTTAGTTCCATCAGTGGCCATAAGACTCCTCACATTTATTTACCTCCTTGCAAAGGTACAATTATAAAAGTATCTAGTTGTAGAGCAGTATTCTCCTTGGCCCCAAAGGGAAGCAATCCAGTCCATCATTTTAAATTTTAAAATAAGCACAGCGATCTCAAAATGGGGTTAGGAATCTTTAAACTGCCATCCTTAACCCAGTCAGAATCAAAATCCTTACCATTGTAGTTCATTTGGGAAAATATCCCAAAGGAAACAACCAACAACAAGAGTTGACAGGAAGACCTTATTTCCTTAAAAAAGAAGAAAATAATCTGGCACTTCTACAGAAAAATAAAAAGCACTAGACTAGATACAAGAACAGAATATATACATTTTCATTAGATGTATTTGTTTAACAAATTCTCATGTAATAAATAGACAAGGTTACAGCATAAAAAGTCTATGTTTGTTCTTTGAGAAAAATTTTTACACCTACAAACTGTCTAAAAATTTTACCTCAATGGCAAATAAGAACTAGTTTTGACCAGTGAGAGACTAAAGGAATTGTGCAAGTTTACTAAGGTCAGTTAGAATTTACTTCAGGGTATTTTGCCAAAGCCACCTAGTTACAGTATCTCCTGCTACTATCTGCATGGTTTTGCTTGCTTTACATTTTCCATTTTTAGTTAAACTCCCCGCACAATTCACATTGCCAAAATGTGGTCCAAAAGAAATGTATACTGTTTCTAGCTACTTTCTGAACTTCACTGCCTTCCATGGCATTACTTTCCTCTTCTGTGTAGCATCTTGTTTAGTGTAGGGAGCTTAAACTGGTGGCCGCTCATTTTGAGTCATTTGCATCGTTCATTGTGGACAGAATCAATGAATTCACATTGACTTGGACTCCAGTGTTATGGCAGATTATAAGGATGCAATCTCATCAACTGTGAAATTATTACTTTGAATTATTTTCAGTCTGTAGATCTTGAAGATGGAGGCAATGTATATGGAAAAATGAAGGCCACCATCTGCCTATTCATTTTTCAACTCTAGTCACTCATGGCTGAACAAACTGGCTGAACAAATGGAACTAACCACATGGTGGTGATCAGTGTTCTCCCTCTTCCACTTCAAGAATGCCGTTCTTATTTCTGTATTAAATAATCCCTCTCTTGACCTAGGAGATTGATAAAATTACAGGCTAGTCTCAAATATTGCGACTTTGAGGAAAAATGATTGAAAACGCAGTGACACTGCAGCTCCAGATGCAACTGAATGATATTACTGTATCTGATCCATTTTTGTTGGATATGAAGCAGGACTTGTTTTAGTCATTCTATGGATAACTTATGTTGAATATGAATATGAAGAGTGCCTTGCTTGATGTTCTTCCTATGCATGAAGTGGATTGGGCAGTGGTTATCCAAAGCTTAGATGCATCCTGTCATGATAATGCAACTTGGTGCTTATGAAGCTACCTTTTGAAAAGTCTCTGGAAGTTGCAACTGATGCAAGCAACTACAAAGGCTGCAAACTGTTAAAAGAATTCCCAAAATGCTCTGTTGAAGGATCTGCAGGGGTTTACAATTGCTTAGCAGGAACAATTTGAGAAGTTTGTATTAACAACAGTGTTTTTTTAATTTACCTTAAATCAGGGGTGAAATTCAAAATTTTTCCCTACCGGTTCTGTGGGCATGGCTTGGTGGGCATGGCAGGAGAAGGATATTGCAAAATCTCCATTTCCACCCCACTTTGGGGCCAGCCAGAAGTGGTATTTACTGGTTCTCTGAACTACTCAAAATTTCCACTACCAGTTCTCCAGAACCTGCTGGATTTTACCCCTGCCTTAAATCCATGTATTTGGACTTGTCCATCTGTTCTGTTACAAACATATCTGGCTGTTTCAGGAGACCGTATTGAGTATGTCCCCCCACCCAGGACAGAGGGTCATCTTTCTGACATATGGAAGAGGGGCGGGCCTTCTCCTAAACTGTTAGTTGTGTTTGGTCCTTAGTCTCTCATCTCTAGAAAACATATAACAGACACTTCTCCTGAATTAGGCTTTAAATGGTTTTAGTATCATTTTTAATTTATGTTTTAATTCATTTTTTATTGTGTTTATTTTTGTTTATAATATTTTGGTACCCTCCTCCATTATGGTGAAACAACAGGGGACCAATCCGTCAATCAAATAAGTCAACTGCAGGCCATGTTTAATGTGTCTAGGTCAACCACATCTAGAAAGGATAACCCTTCCAGAAGAAGCAAGAATACTTTTGCTTTGCTGTCTAGCTGAGATCTGAAGGATTCTGGGGTCTTTCAGGGCAATTTAGAAACACAACTGTTTCTAACAGGTTAAAAAAAAGGTTCTCCTCCCCCCCCAAAAAGACAGCTGTTTACTGAGGAAAGGTGGGTAACAGGGATTGTGCTGGTAACATGAGCAATAAGATATTTCACTCTTCCAGGAAATATTAGCATATTCTCTTTTGCATATATTCTCCCCCCACTTTTTTTTTTCACACCAAAGCAGCTTTCTCTTTTATTATCAGAATAAATTACTTTGTATCTTGTATTAGAAAAATAGTAAGTTCTTCAAATTGGATAAAGAGTGAAGTTCTGCCAGCAAGCAATAAATAAATCAACAGGAATACTGTGAG